CGTGTGTTCTGATTGTCATATTGTTGGTGAGGTCTCTGAGAAAGTACCTGTGGTCAGAGCAAGCGTTCTTGTGGTTAAGACTAGGCCCGATTCTCCTTGATTCCCAGTTGCTTACAGGTAGTTGTTCAAAGTGGGTCTTACATCTGCTGGTGTTTACATATAGAGCTTTGCAGGACCACGTGGCAGACTTGCAGATTATAGCCTATAAATATTGTAGCCTAGAAATAATCTGTTTTGTTGTAATAACCTTTCTTTGACTTCAAAATACACACTTGGTGGGAATGATGCTGTGTAGATCTATGGGGCCTGACTGTCATTTCCAGACTTTAAAACAAGAGAAGTCATGATATGCCTCAACCTGTGTGACAGCCTGAGCTTCTAATGCTGATGAAAGGTGTGGGGATTGACTGGCCAGCCACCTGTACTATGCATGACCCACATTACATGCCAGGAAGATGCCTTATAGTTTGAGACTACCAAAGGCCCGTTCTGTTGGCAGTTCCAGACATTTGGAAGCTGTAACTCAGAAGGAAAGGTTGATGTTACATTATCCAGAGAGCTGACAGTTCACGTAGCTTCCTAGGCATGAGAGCGAGCTTGCAGTGATGGCACTGCTAAGGCTCTGTAGATTTTGACTTGGACACACCTCAACGGAATAACTAGATCAAAACTGCTCACACCATAAGCTTCACTAGAAGTTAATTAGTAGGAAGGAAAGGAGGAAGGGCAGGCACTGCTTTGAAGACTGAGTTGTGCAGAGGAACACCGTGATAACCCTGAAGGGTGTTTGGACTAAGACAACACAGTTTCTTGGTGTTCAGTGGAAAATGTGGCAAGAGGCTGGTGTTGCAGAGCTGATGTTACCTCTCCAAGGCGTGCAGAGCTGGGACTCTGGTTGGCTTTTGTTGACCCTGTGGGAGCTCAGTCCTCATCAAGCCGCTGCTAGTGGCTTTCAAAAGAGTATCTGATATTGCTGCTGACCTTTCTGGATCATAGAATAGTTAGGGTTGGAAAGGACCTTAAGATCATAAAGTTCCAACCCCCCTGCCATGGGCAGGGACACCTCACACTAAACCATAACACCCAAGGCCTTGTCCAACCTGGTCTTGAACACCGCCAGGGATGGAGCATTCACAACCTCCCTGGGCAACCCATTGCAGTGCCTCACCACCCTAACGGGAAAGAATTTTCCCCTTATATCCAATCCTAAACTTCCCCTGGTTAAGTTTTAACCCGTTACCCGTTGTCCTATCACTACAGTCCCTAATGAAGAGTCCCTCCCCAGGATCTCTATAGGCCCCCTTCAGATCCTGGAAGGCTGCTATGAGGATGCCTATTCTTTAGACACCTTCTGATGTTACCCAAGGAAGGAATTCCAGTCCCTCCAAAGATCAAGCTGCATCTAAGTCCAGAAAAGGTTACCCTAAATCAGCAGATGTACTGAGTTAGATCCTGATCTCCGTTTGCAGGAGTAGGCAAGACATAAGCAGTGTGTGACAAGGTCTTTGTAGCCTCATAAATGCTTCCATGAGAAGCTGCATTTCACCTTCTTGAGGTAAAGCCCTTGTCTTCAGCTGGCTTTCCATGGTCATGCTTGGTCTCCAGCCTGAATGAGAAAACCAGCCTACTGCATGACCCTGGGGAGGCTGCAGAGTGCTCTGTGAGGATCTAGATGCGCGGGTGTGCATGCATGTGTCTTCAATCATAAATGCATTTACTGTAGGCAAAAAATGACAACATTGTTTGCAGTTATGGCATCCTTATGCTTCCTGCTAAAGCTCTATTTCCTCACTTCTGGCTTAACTGAAATTTCTCCTTTGGCTGCAGTTTTCCCTTGTTGCTGCCGTTTTCCATTGTTTTTTTGCTTGCCTCGGGCTTAGCTTGTTTCTGAGAAGCTGCAGTACAAAAGGTCTTGCTGTTTTTCACTAGGCTTAGGAGGAAACTGATGCTTTGTCTTAAGTCTTTGACTGAAATAACTGATTATTTTAACACTTCCATGTTCTGAAAGGCAGTTGAAAATTTGGTTGGAAGATCAACCCAGAGCAAACGGTATGTTTTTTGCCTTAAAGGAGCCAAGTCATTCTGTCAAGTTATGGGTCTAAAAATCCTTATTCACACCCTTGTGGGAGAGGCAAGGATAGAGGCTGGCAGATGCAGCTTTTAGAAATGGGGTTTTCCCTAAGAGGAAGGGGATAGGGCAGTTGTGTGGAATAATGAGAATTGAGGGAGGTGAGCAGATGCACAGGCAAGGATGGAGGATACAGGAAAAAGGGTGAATGAAGCTTGTATGGTAACGTCTACACAAGAGACCCAACTGGAAGGACTGCTGTCTAGAATCTGCCACAATAGACAGAAAACTTCAACCTCTGCATTTCAGTATGGCCAGAAGCTGCGTAATTTGCTGCCAGGGTTGTTCCCTGGTCCACAGGAAGCGAATTGCTTTCAACTGGTATTAGCTGTGCCAGGATCTCCTGTGGTTGAGACCTGCCTCATGTAGAGGCTCATGACAGAAATGCTAGCATATTATGTGATAATGGCAATACATGGATGAAGATGCCAGGAAAACAGCATATGAACGGTTAAAGGAGAGGCATGTGTCAGTGACTGCAGAACCATCACATGTTTCACACAAATACTCAGAGGACAAAGAACAAACTGCAGCTGTAGAGGTAAGGTATCAAGATGATGACCAACGCTGTTGAGGCTGTGAAATACCCAGACAGGGCAAGTAAAAGACTCAGTTTTGCCTGAAACTCTTGATGGGTGAGGCCAGACAGTGAGGTACAACACTGATTGTAGTATCCACTGCTAAAGGGTGTAAAAGATGTGTTCAAATGTAGAGGAGCCCAGAAGATGCAGTGAGGCTGTGATGGTCTTCCTCCATGTGCTTTCTGCTGCACCGAGACGGATGCATATGGGTGTTTGCCTGTGAGTATGTTGATGAAGATTGGGAATGGGACAGAATCGACTTATAGAATCACAGAATAGTTAGGGCTGGAGAGGACCTTAAGATCATCAAGTTCCAACCCCCCCCCGCCCCCCGCCATGGGCAGGGACACCTCACACTAAACCATGTCACCCAAGGCTCTGTCCAACCTGGCCTTGAACACCACCAGGGATGGAGCATTCACAACTTCCCTGGGCAACCCATTCCAGTGCCTCACCACCCTCACAGTAAAGAACTTCTTCCTTATAGCCAATCTAAACTTCCCCTGTTTAAGTTTGAACCCATTACCCCTTGTCCTATCATTACAGTCCCTAATGAAGAGTCCCTCCCCAGTATCCCTATAGCCCCCCTTCAGATACTGGAAGGCTGGTATGAGGTCTCCATGCAGCCTTCTCTTCTCCAGGCTGAACAGCCCCAACTTTCTCAGCCTGTCTTCATACAGGAGGTGCTCCAGTCCCCTGATCATCCTCATGGCCTCCTCTGGACTTGTTCCAAGAGTTCCATGTCCTTTTTATGTTGAGGACACCAGAACTGCACACAATACTCCAGGTGAGGTCTCACAAGAGCAGAGTAGAGGGGCAGGATCACCTCCTTCGACCTGCTGGTCACGCTCCTTTTGATGCAGCCCAGGATACGGTTGGTTTTCTGGGCTGGGAGCGCACACTGAAGCCTGCTCATGTTCATTTTCTCATCAACCAACACCCCAAGTCCTTCTCCACAGGGCTGCTCTGAATCTCTTCTCTGCCCAACCTGTAGCTGTGCCTGGGATTGCTCTGACCCAGGTGTAGGACCTTGCACTTGGCATGGTTAAACTTCATGAGGTTGTCATTAGCCCACCTCACAAACGTGTCGAGGTCCCTCTGGATGGCATTCCTTCCCTCCAGCGTATCAACCGAACCACACAGCTTGGTGTATTCTTTGTGGATCCACACAGCCTTATTGGATTCTTTTCAGTACAAATCGCCTTCCTTATCTGTAAGGCCTTGCGATGAGCTTTGTTCCACTCATTTTCCACAATGATGGAACTAAATGTTCTAGTTCTGCCAATGATTCATGTAGGAGGTGATATATATCCATGTGATGGTATTTTATATATCCTACAGTTGCCTTTAAAAAAAACCCCTAAATAATTAGATTGCAAAATTGTTCTGTTAAAGGAGTATTCATACTAAAGCCAGGTATTCAACTGCTGTGAACTGGTCTGTTTAAGCTTTGTGCTTTCCTCTTGTAGGAAAGTCACTGCAATCAAAATGTTTGCTGTGTTTCTCATTTTCTAAAAGCCGGGCTTCAGATGCCCATTGCCCATGTGAGAGGTGCATTGGATGCTGTCCATTGGAGGTGACACTTCTTCATTTAAGCATATAAAGTGCCACAAAAATGCTATAAAGGAAATCAGGCCATCCAGGTTATGAAGCAGGCTTTCTGCATGAAAGGTTCTTGCTGACCTGAATGCTGCAGCTATAAAATAAAGGCAGCTCTCTGCTTTCATGGAAATCTGAGAAACTTGTGCCCTGACTGCAATCCAGGTGCCTTTTCTCCCTTGCTGTCTGTCTCCATTCCTGGTCATGCTGGGTGACCGTGTGGACTGTGAAGTAGCCCCACTGACTGCTTATGGACATCTGCTGTGCAAGGGGCTTGTTTCCCCAGTGCCTTTTCTCTTTCTGATGGAGTTGTCAATGCTTGTGAAGCATTCAGGGGTGACAGTGGTGAGGGCAGAGAGAAGCTGCCCAGGAGGCTAATATGCGTGTATCCTTAAAGTCAATAAGGACACAGAAGTGATGCTGGTCAAACAAGGTATTGAGTGGATGCGGTTGGTTGTGTGTCACTCCTTCAGTGTCAGAGGAGGACATGGGGCAGTTCTGTGAGCAACAGCAGTGACGCGATTGAATAAACTAAAGTTTCCAAAATGAAGATTATCCAGCCATATAAATGTGTCCTTGCTCATCCCTGCTTAATGCTGTTCTTGTCATCTCTTCACAGTCATCCTGTTCAAAGGGGTGGGTTGCACATGAGAGCTTCTGGTTTCTCATAGCTGGGTGCTGCCTGCCAGCTCCAGAAAGCACTGCCTGCTCCTGGTCTGATGCTGTGGATGCTGCCTGCCAGACACTGCTGCAGACTCCTGGGCTGCCCTTGAAGGCAACTTACCAATGGTTAACCAGTAAGTGAGAACATCTGGGGAGTATTTTCAGTCTGCCTCTTTATGCTTAGCTTAAAGACAGAAGAGCTTTGTCTTTTCCCTTTCTCTCAAGAGTGGGGTAGGGGTTAGTTTTGAGTTACTTAAATGTAATTTCAGCAATGTCCTTACTCTAGAGTTCGATGTAAAGATTTGGAGATCAGTCAGTGAGTTTCAGCATGGCAGCTGCCTGAAAGTCTGGTTGAGAATAAGTGGATTCCTATTGCCTTTCTTGCTCCCTCAAGCCTAGGGTGTTTTCCCGGCTGCCAAAGGGTGGGCCTGTTCTGTTCTCTAACAATAAAAAGCAGATGATTTTCCTTCTTAAAATGCACAAAGGGGATTGCTAGCACAGATCCTCTCCACTGCATGTCCATCCTAGTGTGCCTGGGCAAATCCCATCCCTTCTAGCAGCGAGGAAAAGCTAATCCTTGGCACTGAAGGCACTCGGATTAACCCACTGCAGGATTAGGATGCTTGAGCTATTGTTAGCAGATTAGTATATTTGGTTGTCAACATTTGCTGAACCTGACCTGAAAACAATTTCCAATGGGTTTACTGACTCCTGGGTGCCAGTTTCCCATCAGGAAAGGCTGGAGTTGAAGCAAGCAGCTATAAAGATTAAACCGGAGCTCCAGGGGCAGGGGATGCTTTTTGGATTTAAACCCATCAGTGCTGGTCATGGGAACAAAAGGCTCTGTTGGTCTGGAGCTGCTGAGCTCCTGGCTTGCTGTGGGACAGGGCAAGGAGAGTTTGACTTGCCCCAGGAATCCTTGCTGGTGACTGTATCTGGACAAGGAGTTGTACGGGTTGTATCTTACATCTGCATTTGGGACTCACTTCAGGTCAACTCTTCCCTGCCTGTGCACATCCTTTGATGTTGAGAGCTTCTCCTTTTCATAGGCTGCTGTATTTTGAGTTGCTTGGCTGGAAGCTAATATAACCATACCCTGGCCCTGGTTTTGTTCAACTGTTTCTGCCGTCTCCTGTTAAGAGAGAAATCCCTCTGACCTAGATGACAATAAAGTATCCCCTGGTGAGGAAAAGTGGCTTTTCTAGTGCTTTGCATCCTGGAGTTTGCTGCTAGTGACAGTGTGTGCCATGAACAGGGTGAGCTGGCCACAGGTGGACTTGTCTCGGTGCCTGCACAGTGCAAAATGACTCAAAATAAAGAACAGGGCCTCCACAGTGGTCACTTCAGGTAGAAAGTGATTGTCTTCAGCTTTCTGTCCTGGGCTTGAGCTCTCTCTGCTCATAATGTCTTATTTCAGCTGCTACAAGGAGAGATCATGGTTTTCTTTTCCTCTTTAAAAAAGATCTTCCTCTTGTCAGTAGGGCTTTAATTCCAGTATGAAGTCTGCTTGTGCTAGCTCAGCACCTTGTAAGTGCTCACACTGCTTTCTAGTGCACAGGTGAGTGACAGTGGAGCTGTGGTCCCATTGCAACCAGTCCTGAGGTGCCCTGGTGCTGGTGGAGCACATCACGGTGCTGCAGGGAGCGTGCGTGGGGAGGGATGGGCATGGTAGATCTCCTTTCCCCCTTGAAAAGCAACTTTTTTCCTCTTTTCCTTTAGTAAATTGCAAACGGAGGCTCTAAAAATGGACCCTTTAAAAGTTTTTGGTAGTACAGGAAGAGAGTCTGTAAATTCCTTTGCTTATCAGTGGAAAACTGCTTTGATGGTTGCTAGCTGTAAACTGTTTTCCTCTATCATGGCCCAGGATCAATACAAACTTACTTTTAAACCAAAGCAGCTTGTCTTGAAGTACTGAACACTGGATGTATTGTGGGATTGTGATTTCATTCAGCCTTGTTGCTGAGTATCTTGATTTCAAAACGCATCCTTTCATGAATGTGAATCATATTATGCTTCCCTTTGTACATATAAACATTGAAGCTGAAATGTATGTAACTGCATCCGTCACTCATCTAATAATACAATTTTTCTTCCTCAACAGGCCAGCAAGGATTTTCAACTGAAATCCCTGTGGAAGATATAAGTCTAAAAGTTGTTTCAGTGAAGACACACTAGAAAGGTAGGGCCTTTCCATGAATGCTTGCTTTTGAGTTGGACACTGTTATCTTAGAGCTGTAGCTGCACCAAGCATCCCACGTCTGGCAACACTGTGCAGCCTAGCGAAGCAAGAGCTGTTCAGTTTTAACACATTTATAAGCATTAAGTACATTCCACTGTACTCCACTAACATACTTTAGGGGATTTCTGTAAAGCTGCATGGTAAAATAACTGAATATTTCATCAAAGGCCCATGTCACAGTTTATTCTGAGAAAATAGCTTTGAAACCCAGAATGAGAGCCTAAAGCTCCTGCCTGGCTTGCTGTGGAAACAGGACAAGGGCAATGCTCTGGTGGCATTGGTTCCACTTGTCTCTGCCACAAAACAGATGCATTATGAAATGACCAGCAAGAACATGGGACAGAAAAATGTGTTGGTTCTCCCACTTGGCCAATGTTTCCTGCACAAAACTTGCCTTGGATATAAATCAGTGTGGACCTAGCTGATCAGCTGTGCCTAACAGGCATGTATGAGATAAACTTGTCTGCATCAAGTGAAGAACTTCAGGCCACCTATTCACTGGATGAAAATGCAGTATCTAACATGCTGAGGTCATTTAGATTATTTGATGAGTAAAAACATATATATATGTGTGTGTGTATATATATGGATACCAGCTATTGGGAAGAAAATTAACGCTATTCAGCTGAAACCAGGACCTATATGCATACTATATACAGTAGCCTATATATAAGGCATGGACCAGTGTGGAAAAAGTGCACTGTAGGTTTTAATATACTAGGAAGAGGGTTCTACTTGTATTTCAGCCCATACTTGCTGTAACAGTGCTTATAAACTGTAAACTTGAAACTCAAGGGCCATTTCTAGGGAAGAGGAGAGTGACCATGTATGTAGCTGGTGGGATACACAAAGTGAAAACAGGAAAGGTTCCTTCACCACACTGAGTTCAGGCCTTAGTTTTCTTCAAGGAACAGGTTATGCATGAGCAGTTTATGATCAGTGTGAAGAGCATAATATCTGGCTGATATGAAATAATCCTACTTAAGGCATTGCTTTCCTCATCAGAATACCTTCAAAGGGAGGACTGCAGACCTACACTGATAAGGGGCAACGGCTGTGTTGGCTGGATACCCTGCCCTTCTCTGCAGTTGGCAAATCCATGTTCAAGTAAGCTTTGTGTTCCTGTTCCAAAGGCCAAGGAAGCTCCAGAAGGGTTTGTTCCCAGTCCCATGATGTTGCTTCTAATGGTTGAAGATAGGTGCTAGTTTATTCACTGCCTTTATATTTGATGTGCAGAAGTCCCCAGCAAGACTGCTTGGTAGGCACTGTAGTTGCACAAGATAAGGAACACCTTGATGATGAAGCATGTTTTTGATTGGCCATAATCATTTAAATTTGAGGGGAAACAAGCAGAAACATAAAATGAATGGAGTGGATGTGGTGAGGCTGCAGTCCTCTAGCAGGCAGAGATGCAGGGAGAGACTGATCAGCTGGTGTGGCTTGCTCTGTTCTTGTGGGACTGGCTTGTAATGGGGGGTAGGTGCCTTTTCTGTATCTGTGAACAAAAACTTTACTTGTACAAAGTGCTTGAAAACATCTTAAAATAAATCTTGGAAAAGCCCATGAAGTACTTCAGGTTTGGGGTTATCTTCTTGCCTGCCTTTTCCTTCTGGCTCTGACATGAGGAAGATTCTCCCTATGGTTTCTAGAGTCCTTCAGATGTAGTAATTCCTGAAAGTCCAGCTTTAAGGCCAGGTTCAGGGATTTTCAACAGTATGTGTTGTCCTGCAAGGAATAGATATGAACTATAAAAATACAAGATAGCTATACATGTGCTTGCTATGCAAGAGAAGTTACTCATAGCTATGATGTTTAGCACTATAAAGTGTCCCCAAGTGCCCAGTCCTGAGAGAAGCTTAGCTTTTAGCTCCATCTGGGGCTATAGGAAGATCTGTAGCTGCTCACAGGACCCATTCCTTGCTGTTTGTTAACTCTCCAGCTTCCCCAAAAGCCAAACCCAGGCTGTTCTTGCAGCTCTGAGTGTCCCCATTCCCACACAGGAATGCTGCCCTAGCTATCAGCTCGAGATGCAGTACTTTGCAGTGGAGTGCTGAGCTTCCCTCCTTGTGGTAGAGATGGGGAAAGACGAAGCAGGCGGGAGCCGGAGAGCACACACTCTTTAGCTTGTGTTGCCAGCAAGTTGGGAGCGCGCCTTGCTCTGCCTGTTACAAAAGGCCCTCGTTAAGTAAGCACTTATGCAAGATAAAAGTGATTGTTTTGGGGAGGCTTCCGCCAGCTGGAGGCTGCAGCTCGGGCAGGAAGTGTCTGCTGTGGTTTCACATTGATGCGTGATTATCGGTCTGCTGCGAGCTGTCTAAAATCTCTCCGAGCAGCAGAGATTCCTCGGCACTGGTGGTAGCTGAGTTACAGCTGTGAGACGCCGCCAACAAGCCTGTGTGGATCCTTGTGAGTAGTATTCCTGATTCTTCTAAAGGGTGTTTGTGAGTGATGACTGCAGGCAGGGAAGTACTGCTGGCGATAAATAGAGGGAGGCAGGAGGTGGCAGACAGTAGTGAAACTATCGATTGGTTTTAAAATAGGACTCTCCTCCTGGGCTTCTGTAAGCAAGCATGGGCTTCTGTGAAGCTGTGTAATCAAGTCTCTTCCAAATATGCTAAGAAAAGAGAAATGTGGTGCTGAATTCAATTACAGCACTGTCGGGAGAACACAGATTTAGCCTGACAGTGAAATCAAAGGACCATCTATTCCCATGCGCTGTTTTGGAGTGGCCATAAGTCAATGTTCAAGGAAAGAATACAAGAACAGGACAAGCGTGCAGTGATATTTCCAATTCTGCGTTTTCCTTGCTTTCTGGAATCTGCAGGTCAGTTATTTCCTGAGACAGAAGTGATATCTTTAATAGTGCAAGTGGATTTTCCTTTCCAGAGCTTGCTGTGTATCCACTGAAGACTGCGTTTTGGGGTTTGACGTCTTGAGTTAAATGAGTTCTTCCACATAGGATTTTAAATTTTAAAGACGGGTTTCTGTTTTGATGGACCTGGAAAAGGAAAAGCTTGCAGGGATTTACAGAAAGCAGAATTTCCCCTCCCACTTCCTTGTGATGTGTCTGGATGCAGCTCAGCCCATGAACAAAGCCCAGGACTATAAAAGCGTCTGCTGAAGTGGGGACTGGAGTTTATTAGTTCAACGCTGAGCAGCTTGGAACAACTCAGTTATTCCTGCCATTCCAGTTACTATCTGATGCCTCGAAGGCACTGAAGTGCCATTGTATAGAGAAGGCCATTCAAGTACTGAACTGTGAGAGGGAAATAAAGCTGTTGCCTATAGTGTGGATGCATGTAGGCTTACTCTTGCAGGTGGCATACAACTTTTCCTTGATAGAACAAATGCTGGCCTAATGGAGATCACTTGGGAGAGCTCAAGTCACTATGTATAAACCTTGAAAAACTGTAGTGTGTAGTTTGTATAACCTATAAAGTTCTTTAAATAAATAGTAAACCTATAAAGCCTTTAAATCTTACTTGCAGCCAGTAGAAATGGAGGTCGTACCATCATGAGAAGTTATTTTGTAGGTGCTGTAGGATTAGAGGTAAATGTGAAAAGCTACATTGAGCCCAAAGGGACCTGCCTGCAAAGCCAAGCCTAAGGTTTTCATATTTCTTCCTAAAGTGGGCAAAACTGATAGGCTGTTTTCTTCACTAAAACTGCAATAGCTGTGTAAGATAAGATGGGATGATGCTTACACTTGCTAATTATTTAGGTCTTAAACCCTGTGCAATACATCCATAGCCAAACCCAAGCTCTCTCTTGCACTATGCCAGTAAGGGATGGGTGGTGGCAGAGCAGGCTGCTCTGCAGCCTAGCCAGGTCTCCCTGCTTCTGTGGGTCAGTGTTGTCCAGAACCCAGCAGCTTTCCTAGGTATTTGTAGTGTTTGCTCCCCATCTGAAAGTCATGGGGAAGCCATTGCAGTCCTAGGGGCTGGTAAAGGTTGTTAACAGAAAATCTCAAACATGGAGACAGGTTTTTCCAGGTCCATGAAGTGATCCAATGAGCTGGGGAGAGTTTGCAGACTTAAAACCCCCTGAGACACTATTAAAGATGCTACCACTAGAAATCCTTGAGTTATTGGAAGAGGATTCTGGGGAGGTATCGGTGGTTTGCCCTGCTTTGGGGCAGTTTTCTGGGCTTCTGACACTGTCAAGAGGATGCTGGTTCAAAGGCAGATGCTCCTAGCCTATGCAAGGCCTTTTTGGTTCTTGTGAAAACACCACAAGCAAGTCAGCAGTAAAAACTGAGGAACTTACAATGCAATTTCAAAAACAGTCTCTGGGACATGGAACAAACCCAGCCATGCATCAGGATAGCCAAAAAATACCTTTAATTTGTTGCAGGATAAAATGGATGCCATGCACAAGCTGAAGATTCTGGTGATGCTTCTGGCTCTGGCTGTTTTTGTGGCTGTAGTGATACTGAATGCTGGAGATGCCACTGGGACGTTCAAAGGTAATGCAAACAAACTGGCTTTGTTTAGAGGTGGATTTCATGCATTACATCATTTGATGATTTACGGTGCCTTAGGTGGGTTAGATCTGTTTCTAACCACACTGCTTCTCCAAACACACCTTTATCTTTGAAAGCTGGAAGCAGCTGGTGCATCCTGGAATTACAGCCAGGGGACTGAAATCCAGTCCTTGAAATCCAAGTAAATGGTCTTGTCCTGGGTGAACCTGGGTCTAGTGGCAGGTGAAAGGCAGACTTTGAACACAGTGCCCTTCCATCCTGGTGAAAGCTGTATGTTTATTGAGGGCAGTGGCACCTGGTTTGAACGCTTCCCAGCTGAAACTGTCAGAAATGGGCATTATGCTTCTCTCTGGCTTCTGCATGCAACTGGCTTTTCTGGTTCTGTGTAAGAGGGAAGGTGCTGAGGGATCCCCGTTGGGACAGTGATTCTGTAACGGGTGTCTAAAGGAGAGCCAACTGCAGCACATGGCTTGTTTTCACCTCAGGCATCCTTTCATCTCCCTCAGATCCACTGAGGTGTGGCCTAAGCCTTGAGGAAGATTACAGGATGAGGGAATTCAGGGGTCTTTCCCCATCCTTGGTATGTAATAACACTTTTACCTGCAATAACGTTCACCACCACAGGTCTGTTCAGGTCAACCCCTGGAAACATCTCGGCCAAGTACAACACTGACTTCACACCAGCTGGCTGGACTTTCCTCATCTGGAATGTCATCTATGCCTGGCAGCTTGCCTGGCTTCTCTACGCCTTGTCGGGGATCTGTCGAAGGTATTTGCCCTGCTTATGGTACACATAAGAGATAATGGTGTTTCCCTTCTGTAGGTCAGTCTCTTACTCCCTTTTCTGGGCCTCCTAATCAGAGTAAAACCACTGTCATTCCCCTTGACATGCTGAAGTTCAGCATCTTTTAGGTTCAGCATCAAAGCTGAGAAGCAGTTTGGAGGTGTACATGAACTGTTGTAATGTGCAGACATGTTACAGAGCGTGAGGCCTGGTTTCCACTGATTCATGTGATCTAACTGTTACCCAGTAGTATTTACCCACTGCTAGAGGCTGAGAATCCATAGGGGCAAAAATTAATGAGTTATGGAGCTAATGCTTTGAGTTTACTTGCTGTTAGAGATCAGAGATTTGGCATTGGGAAGTTTTGGGGCTGTAAGATCAATAACTGCCTCATGTACTACCATGTAGTATCTGTAGTATTGTGATGTCTTCTGTGGGATACACTTACATTGCAGCTCTTCTGTCAAGGGGGACCATGGACTGCTTAGTTTAAGTATCTGCTGTTTTCACATGACTTGTAATAATTTCTCAGTTGGCAATACTGAAGGTTGAGAGAAGAATGATGTATGTGTTTGTACAAGAGTGATCAAGTCCATATACATGTATGTGTGCACACATAAAATGTGTACATACATATGCGCTCACACTATGATCCCATAAACCTTTTCTCCCTGGGAACTGGGCTGAAATCCTATGATCACACCATTGCTACCACCACCGGTGTCACAAGCTTTGCATCATCTGTGGAGCAGTCCTTAGTTATGTGCAGAGACCAGCAAGTTCTGTATTGTGGGACAACGTTCTGATGGGGAAAGTCATAAGGACTGTGTGTCTGAGAAGGATGCAGAGGGGAAATAGTCTGATTTAGGCTGAAATACTTAACTCCAGTGTAGAGTCCCTGTTAGTATGAGGAAAATGAGGGCAGGAAATCTTGTTTGGTCAATGCAGAAGAAAAATGCCTTTCTCCATAACCACTTTTCCTGGCAGGAATGAATTTGGATGTGTCTGCATAAAGCCGGACTTGCTGCCAATATCTTTTTACACAGTGTGGATACTCAACAATGGCCTCAATATTTCATGGCTGTTTCTGTGGGACCGAGAGTAAGTTGCTTTTTGTTACAAATGCTTTCTAAACCTCTTGTTGGTACTGTCCGAATACTCTCTTTTGCCCTTCCCTTCTGTGTGAACACGTAATCAGACCTGCAAAACTTCAAGGCAGGCCTTAGCTAAAGGTAGCCTTCATAAAAGTTTGGCACAATGTTATCTTGCCCATGAGGTGGATTGGTTATTGAAGTCTAAGATCCCCTAAAGTTGCTGCTGTTCCATGTTGGTTTTCCTCCACAGGTAAGACAGGAGCTGTGCCTCTCTTCATAGATACAGTTAAGCTCCTTGCCTTGGTTTGTTTTCATAATCATGGTCACATGAAGGGCTTATAATAACACCACTGTCAAGAGATGAAGAAATCAGTTGCAGCCAGGAAAATAATAACTTTGTGATGAGCAGAGTAGAGCAGCAATATGTTAAAATGAAGGCTCCATGTAGTGATTACCTTTATTAAAGGCTGATTAACTTAAAGCCAGCAAACACTAAAGCTATGAATTAAGGCATTAAGGCACCACTGAAAAAATGTATGCTGTGTGTGTATGTTCTTTGTCCTAGATGCCTCCTCCCAGCCCTGGTGCTCCTGGTAGCTCTCACTCTTACTACATTTGTCTGCCTCATCATTTCACACCGAGCCTTGAATGCCCATTCCTCGTGGCTTGTGAAGGGCCACAAAGCTGAGCTCTGGCTCATCCGCATCCTAGTAGGTGACATTTGGCAAAAGGTTGTTGGTAAATACTAAAAGCTCTGTGCAGTGCTGCAGGTACCAAGAGAGGCTTAATGGCAGGAGATGGGTAAGGAAAGGCTTTTGCGCTGACTTCACCTTGTGCTTGTTGCAGGTGTGCACAAGCTTAATTGCATCTTTCTTATTGGGCATAATCTTGATCTTTGGTCTTAAAGGTCTTTTCTAACCTAGTTGATTCTATGATTCTATCATTCTATGATAATGGGAAAGATTCAGAGCAATACATCCCTTGCACTTCTCCAGCTGCTACAGAATTAAGTTTCCTATGAAGCGTGAAGACTTCAGTGCAGACCTGTGTTTGGTATGGGAAGAACATTTCTTGCAGAGGGAAAAGCCATTGCTAAGGGTGGCTTCTGTTGCTGTAGTTGATGATGTCCCTTGTATGCGATTGCAAGAAGCTATCTATTTCTTGTACACTGCTCAAGGTTTCAAGTGCATCTGCCTTTAATTTTGCCAAATTCTGGAAGGAAATGATGATTCTGCTGTCCTTGAGAAGAGTGGGTGTTTGTTTGGCAAACTGCACAGAGAACACAAACATACTCTTCACCACTCCTTTGTTCCTCCCCTGTTCCTCTCTCCTAGCTCAAACCTACCACCCTGACCCCTTCCTCCCCACCCAGGACACCTCGCTCTGCAGTTCCTTCCATGCCTGTGTGTGCTTTAACCACCTTTGCTTCCTTTGCTTGATGTTGACATTGTTCAGTGACAGAACTTAACATGCTCATCCAAGGAGCTAGGAGGGTTTTTGGTGAAGGGGGAGTCTGCAAAGCTGGGAGGGTTTGAATAGAAAAGTTCCTACCAACCCTGCTGGAAATGTGTCTGCATCTCTTGGTACAAACTGGGAGCAGGCTGTTCTTTATGCTATTGTACTGCACTGTAACACAGGAAATGGGAATAGCTGGGTTCCCCATCCTTGCTCAGGGGTGATTCCAGCCCTTGATAGTACCTGCTTCAGGCTCCATGTAGCAAAGATATTTGCTGGGAGGTTGCTAAGATCCAGAAAGCTTTCTCTCCACCAGTTACAGCAGCCTGCAACAACTGGGCTGGGCAGCTAGGCAGACTGTATGCTTTGGGGTGTGGATGGGAAGTCCATGATGGGATTACAGGGCTTTATATGTAGAATTCTGCAGCTGGGGTGGATTTCTGGGGTACTTTGAGCAAGCCAAGGCTTTAACCCTTCTCAGTGTTAAGGGGCTTTCCCTGCAGCTGGGTCCAGAAGGCTGGTTTAATTGCCAAAGTACCTATGGATCACCAAAGACAATTGGGAATCGCCTTTTTTTATCACTGGTTGTCATCTTGCTGTGCCATTTGGTAGGTCCAGAATGGGCTGGCGCTGTATGCAACATGGACCAGCATTGCCACCCTGCTGAACTTTGCTGTTGTGCTGATCTACAAGTGGAACGTGGCCAATGAGACAGCAACGACTGCTTGTCTCAGCATCCTAGGTCTCAGCCTATTAATATGGTAAGCATCCTCATGGGTTCCCACCAAACCCTTCCAACCTCTCACAAATGGGCTGGACTATCTGTGCCAATTCACTCACAGTCTGTCCATGTACCAGCACAGAGTACAATGGTTTCTTATAATTCATGGCAGATGAGCAAGGACCCTGTGCTTAGCTCTTCTTCCATGACCCTCAGCAATGCCAATAAGCACATGCTGTGGGCCAGGAATAGATTGCTTGGATGAGCCCAACCTGCCCTAATTTTATGTATAAGGGCTTGATATGGAAAACAGTATGAAACATGGCTTTTCCACCTAAACTTCTAATAAAAAATTATCTTCTCAATCTAGGTAAATGAACAATTTTGGATTCTGGTCCAAACTGGCCTGCCAAAAGAGAAAAAAATCTTTGCCTAATTCCTTTAAGGAATCAAAGTATGGTGAAAAGATTTACTTTGCCTCTTTTTCTTCACAGGTTTTATCTAGAAAACTTTGTCCTTGACCAGTATGTCCGCTATAATCTCACAGTCTACCCAGTGGTCATAACAGCTCTGACTGGCAGCGCATGCAAGAACTTCTTGTTTTCATTCCCAACAACAAATGGTGTTTTTATAGGTGAATCTTTTGGGCTGTTTCCAACTCTTGTAAAAGGAGGAGAGAAAACACTTCTACATCTTTCCTGTTTATTAAGGGCAGGAAAGTAGTATTTAGAACTGTCTCTTGGAAAGTAGTATTTAGAGGGATTTATTAGAAGATATTAATCTTGCAAAGTAAAGAGTAGAGCAGAAATCACTGCCCATGAGCCTTGGGGCTGACTTCAAACTTTGTGTTACCTCAAGTTCACTTCCCAGTGCAATATGTTTATCCTTCAATTCTCCATTATCCACTTGGGTCCTCTGTTTGTAGCTCCATTTGACAGAGGGTGGGCTGAAGGAAGAGGAGGGCTGGGATGAAGGCTGTGGACTTCCATTTATTCTATATCATTTAGGATATAGGGTCAGTACATAAGCCTCTGACCCAAAGAGGGGATGTATTTAAATTTCACCATTCAAAACTCTGTGCGTGCGCCTCTCCTATGCAGAATTGGGCTAGCCTTCAGTTTTCCCAGGATTGTTTGGTTGCTGCATGCCACTGTAGCTGAGTGTAGTCATCCATTGTAAAAGGGCTCAAGCTGTCCAAATACTGTGTAATCAGTCTGGCAAAAGCTATACCATTGAGTGGTGTTACACTGGCATGAAACGGACTGAGCTGTGTGAGCTCTGGATCCTGCTGCAGCAGTTCGAGATGCCTGTTCCCACTGTAACGTCAGCAGAAGCTGCCATGGACCAGTGGCTAAAGCTAATGTCTGGACTGGCACCATTGCAGTCCCTCCAGTGTGTTCCCCTTGGCTGTAAGGGCAGCTGGAGCTTGGTAGTGCCCAAAAGAACCCAACAGGACTTGGCAGAGTCTGTCTGCCAAAGGCATGAGGGCACTGGAGACATCTGATGGTTATGGCCACCAGGAATGTGAGGGTATGTGTGATCTGGCACACTGTGTTCCTGCAATGGCATCTTTAGTGGTTCAGCTTGTTTGGCTGGTAGGTCAGGAATGTGCTTTTCCCAAACTAGTGCATGTTTCTTTATATAGTTCAACTATTCCTGGAGTGTTTTCTTAATGTAATGCACTTTTATTTCTGTGTCCATAATGCTCCCCCCCCCCTTTAGACATTCCTTGACCTGGAAGCATTGGGTGTTTGACTGTATAGCAGTGAAACTCTGGGGGTTAGTGGCTCCTGTACAGGGGGTTTCTTGTTTTCCTCTTTCCCTGAATGCTTCCTGTACTAGGAGCTGTGATGTGACAAGAGGGACTGACTTTCTCATGCACTAATGTGCTTCTGTGTTTGTTTTCTAGTTGTTCTGCTGGCAATCACTTGCTTCCTTTTTGCTGTTCGGCTGGGACTTGTTGCATGGAGACTCTTTAGGAGACCATTGGAAGCATCAGAAAACCCAGACCCATAGGGCACAGTGGCCTGAGACCTCTGGCATGTTGTAGCACATACTTTAAATGGAGAAAAAAGGATCTGGCATCTGCTGGTCTGTCCTTCCAGTATCAATTGCCTTATGCTCTCTATTTCTGCCCTTCCAAATACAGATGCTTGTCTGCAAACCTCTCCTGCTCCTAAGTTCCCTCAGCTCAGCTGCTCACAGCCCCACTTTGAATCCATGCCCTTCTTCATTTGGTTTGACTCTGGATCAGTGCAGGAAAAGGCCTTTCAGCTGAATAGCCCTGTACAGGTTTGGGATAGAGCTGTGGCCCTACCCGTTGCACTATCAACAGGCACTATGCGGGCTTGCACAGGCACTTCTGTATGGCTTTTCCTTGGTCACTAATTTTCCTTAAGGCCAAGGTGAGCAGTGAGACTCCTGTCATGCCTCTGGCCATTCAGTGCTGGGTTTCTGAAAGCCCCTGTGGTGTGAGCAGGAATCCTGCAAGCAGCAACTGCTCCCTTTCCTGCTGCTTTTCCCACATCATAAAGATACTACAGCTCTGGAGATCTACCTGTGCTGTGTCAGCTCTGCTTGATACCCAAGGGGGGAGAGGAGGAGTGACTGAATATTTCTGACACAAATGCAAGCCTTCAACCTATTTTTGTTTGTAGCTCTGGAAATTGAAGATGTGTTCACCTTTCAGCATCCACTGAAGCATCTGCGGCTCTGCCCTGGTTTTTCCCTTTCTCAGTTAAGTTAGTCACTGTGTCACCGCCTCTGTCTGTGACCCACAATAGCAGCGGCTTCGCTGTTCCTGCTCTAGCCTATAAGACAGGAGAGATCTGGGTCAGGCAGGAGCTGTGGGATGCCTTTCCCTGAGCTGTGCAGTGCAGTTTGCGCTGGGTGGATGCCTCCTGCTGGAGAACGGTTTGTAGCCATGCTGGCAGGAGGAGATGCGCAGATGAGGTGGTACCTGCCCCGGGGTGAAGCTGCTGCTTCAAAGGGAAACCAGTTTAAGGAAAAAAATCACTTGAACTGATAACGTGAGTTCATCGTGGATTGGTGCTTTCTCATGCGGCTTCACCACAGGAAGCCTTAATGTGGGTTGACTGAGTTGTCAAACCGCTGCCTCCACTTCCTGTGCCTACTTGAGCATCACTGCTATCTGGAAGTGTTTCTACATGGCAGATGCTTTCAGATGCTGAATTCATTGCAACACTATTACAAAGGTTAAATTGTCTAAAACACCATGTGCTAGCATTTACATTTAACAAAACTAAATCGGTGTCATGCACTTCCTCTCATTTTGTCATGTTTTATTTTCGAGTAAATCAGCAAATTCCACTGCTCTTCCACTACATCTGTAAGCCACCTGCAGTAACTGTCCTGGCTGCTGCCTCATTTGTGCTTGGGGTTCTGCACTGGCCCTGGTCTCTTGCTGGAGCCAGGTGCTTCCACTGATCATGCTTTCCTCAACCATTGAAGGTGAAGACTTGGGTGCTGAAGGGCCCTCCTGCTTACATGCTCTTCTTCCCAAGAGCCCTGCTGATAACTGCCCAGCAGCCTCTCCATAAGCTGCTGCCTTTAATACAGTGGTATTAAATCCACTGGTGTGTGGATGGATTAAGGGGTCCAGGCAAGGTGAATAGTTGGTGCGAGGCTGTGCAGCACAGGGAGCCCTGGAAAGTGTTTTGCATCCTCTCATGCAAGAGCTCCTGGACCAGGGTAGCTGCACTGCCTTTGCACAGACATTAAACAAAGCCTTCAGTGACTTTCTTTCTTTCAAATGACCAGAAGCTATAGCATAGGATGTAATTAATGCATTAATTACCCCAGGAGAGTCAACGGGGCTTCTTCAGAAGCAACTTGTGTCTCACAAATCTCTTTGAGTTCTCTTAAGGACTCAAAAAGCACATTGGTAAGGGTGAACTGTTTTATATTGCCATTGGCTTCTAAAGAAGCTCTAGAGCTATATGACACAAAGGGCAATGTCCTCCTGTATCTGATTAAAGCTGGGAAACAGAGGGAGTGTTTCTCTCCAGGAAGAGAGGTTGCTGGTGGCCTGTGTCATTAGACCTGAGCTGGGTAATGTAGGCATTAAAACCCAAGGGATAATTTGATGATCGACAGTTATTTGGGATGCTAAAGGAGGATGACTGGGGAATTGCATAAAGCTCTACTGAAACTGAACAGCACAAATGGTGGAAGCTGTTGTACCAAAGAGTGCATAAAGGGAAAACCAGGCTGTGCTTCACCTTACAAACGAGCCACTCAGGCATGAAAGCTTGGAGCTATGGTAGCCATTCTCACCCAAGTGTTTCCACATCTGGCAGTAGTAGAGGCAACCCATGTGTCGGGGATGGTTAGGAAAGGAGTAGGATTGAGAACACCCTTGTGCACCTCTAAAGCTACTAAAGATGTGCACCCACATCTTGAGGGCTCTGTGCAGTTCTGGTCCTTGCACTTACAGGTAATTGTTAAGGGTTGAGGAAAGGTTTGGAGAAGAGCAATGGCACTGGGGAGTGAAGTGTCTTTGTTCCCATCTCTGCACCCCAGAGCTGGGAGCACCTTTCCTGAGGTCCCCTTGATGTGTATGGAACACAGCTGGGTGTTCTTTCTCCCACCCTCAGCACTCCAAAGCAAACTATGAGGAAAGCATCGAAGTGATGAGGTGCTGCAGCAGCACCCAGTTCATCTTTTGCAGACCTCCCTGTGAGAAAGCCCCTGGCAGCTGCCCTCAGATGATAAAGCTTAGCTAGCCCCAACCCCCATTTGGCCACCCACGAGTGAGCTCCTGGTCCCCAAAACCCTCTCCAGTCACTATATCCCTGGAGCCGGGGCTGGCAGAGGTTCCCATTGCTGTTTGAGCACACAGAGCTCTGGCCAGCTTTAGGAACAGTGCCTTTCCTTGCATCTGAGGCAGGAGTAGCAGCCTAAAAATACCCTGCCTGCCCATTTTGCTTATAGGTGGGGTGGGGGAGAAAACAGATATAGAGTAAGCGTGGACCTTCTTCTTCCAGCCTTAGGGCTAAAGAGAACCTCAAGGCTATTTTAAAGGCTTTTTTTTCCCCCTGAAATGCCTTAATTTCTTCCTTTCCCTCCCCCTCCCCCCAAAACCCCAAACCCAACCAAACCCGCTGATGCATGGTTTTGCCCACAAGAGATTTCTCTTTCAGCTAAGCTGCATGTCATGAGGCTGGAAACCTGCCAACTTTTGAGCAAAAATAACCAGTCTAGCCTTTGTTTCCATGAGTGATTATAGGATTTGGGTGAATTTTACTGGATTTAGCATTTCTTGGAAAGCTGGTGGCCTTAGGAACCCAAACCCTGAAAAAATTGGGTTTGTTTCTGAAACGAAAAGGCATTTCAGGGCCCTGCTACATGCTCGTGTGTCTCATAGCCTGGGATGTGACCTAAGTCCCCTGGGCCACTGCACCTCTCTGTGGGGCTGGCAAACGCAAGGTTCCTGGAATGCGAAGGGGTACCTTTGGGATGCCAAAAGCTGGGTTTAAACTTGTCATCCCCTGAAAGAATCTGCTTTGTGGCTAAACAGGGGGAGAGGGAAAAGCAGGGTGATCTCTATAAGCCAACATCAGTTGGACAACCCCAGGGCTGAGTCCAGGGATGCTCAGGGATGCCACCTTCCCCTGGGTGGGACCAGCTCCTGCCCAGGCTCCTTCCCACTCTTTGCCTGAAAGCCTCCATACGAGGGTGACCCCTGAGTTAGGAATATTTTCTCTGGAGGGCTGTATCAGCTGAGCCAGACATTACTGAAGCTGTGAGACAGTTGTTTTCAGTAAAAGTTCCTGGGAAAAATCTGGTTTGGAAGAATGTTGTGTGAAATAGGCTGTGGGTCAGGGGAAATATGCATTTGAACTGAGAGAACATGTGTTAATTCAAAAGGAATCTCTAAAAACGAAGTTTATAGAGCCCTGGATCAGGCTCTCATTAAAGCCTTTGCGATTTCCAGAGGGAAACATGCTCATTTCTTGGCTTAGGGCTCAGGCGGCTCCTCCTGAGCCCCCATAAGAGTGGAGGAGATGCTGGGATCAGGGCAGGCATCCCTTTGACACCTTCCACCAGCAGCAGCAACCTCTGGGTGGTGCTTTCCCAAGTCCTAGGGCACTGCATTCCCTTCATGGTGCTCTTGGCTATGGAGCTCAGCTGAGTGCAGGCAGGAGGCTTTCCTGCTGGGCTCCCATAAAATGGAGCATCCAGGCAGAGGAGATGTGTTACAACCTGATTTGTTCTTGTCTTGGTGCTACCCTTGGTACTAATTACTTTATATTAGAGCATCTGTGAAAAGCAATAACAAATAAATAAAACTGAGCCTAATGGAGAGATGTTGCACCATGATGCAAAGCACCAAAGCAGGATTGCCTTTCATCTACCATTTGGAGCCATTTTGCAAACCTATTGCCTGGCAGCAGCCAGGAGAGGTGGCTGTAGCAAGACACGGGCAGCGATGCTGAGATATGAGCACAAGCGGCACCATCACCACCAGAAAACATGGATGAAACTCTCTTAATCAGGGACTGTAGTGATAGGACAAGGGGTAATAGGTTTAAACTAAAACAGGGGAGATTCAGGTTACATATAAGGAAAGTTCTTTACTGTGAGGATGGTGAGACACTGGCACAGGTTGCCCAAAGAAGTGGTAAATGCCTCATCCCTGGCCACATTCAAGGCCAGGTTGGACGGGGCTTGGAGCAACCTGGTCTAATGGAAGGTGTCCCTGCCCAAGGCAGGGGGTTGGAACGGGGTGATCTTAAGGTCTTTTCCAACCCAAACCATTCTATGGTTCTATGAAACTCTTGCTGGTGCCTTGTCACTTCTTGTCAGAGGAGTGTTGGCCTTGGAGAGGAAACACAAAGTAGGCTGGCTCAAAATGAGGAGCCTCAAACACTCATCCTCTGGAGCTGGAGCAAATCCAGCCCTCCCTGGCTGCACCTCCATTTTTGCTTATCTGCAAAGCAGAGATGAACAGGACAAGCCTCTCTGTGGAGGGCTATGAAGCTCTCCGGATAAAAGCACTGAATACATACGAGGATGATTAAAGGCATCAGTGCCCTTTGCTGTGCACGCAGTCTA